AAAAAAAAAACATAACCATGTGGTGGCACTTACGCTAGATGATAAAGGATCCAATTTCTGTATCACAATGTCTTTCTTATTTGGTGGTATCCTGAACCAGTCGCTCTGTAATGTTTCCCCATGGCACATCCATGTTTCTGCCTATAGTACTACTCGCCCTTGAATGTCAAATATTTAGAATGAAGATACAGACCTCTCTTATGAACTACCTACACTGCTTCAGTGACTGGAACACAAGTAAAGAGAGACGTAACATAATGAAAGACCATTGTTCCATCCACCTCCATAATAACCTATATGATGCATATACAACTTACATTTATAACATAACTACCTTTCTCTTGGAAAGAGGAACATTATGTAGGCTGGTACGGAAATACAAGCTTACGATAATATTTAAACTATGAGGAAATACAATCTTTTTGAAACACATTTTTTTAGTATTGAAGCCTAACCACCTTGTGTTCTTTTGCGTCAATAGTGACACAAAAAGAATGGAAGAACTTTTTACCAGAAACCAACAGATGAAAGAACAACACAGATTACTCACCGAAAACATTAAGGTTCTGGAAAACAGGTATCAATGTTACATTGCATTTTTCTTTTCTTGTATAAAACACTAGAAATAAAGTGGTTTGCTCACTAACAAAAAGTGATCTAATGTTTATGGTAATTTCTTTTTATTGGAAAGAGATCGCATATAACATAAAATTAGCATCAAAATTCAACAGGTACTTATTAATTACCTGTAACTGTAAGTTATATAAAATTGTTCTCTCTAGTTTTTGTGTAAATTGATTAATATAGACTGATTAATACAGAAAGGCAACATGCTGGATTTAGACTCATGACCATTTTGCTATGAAGCTGCAGTCCTAACCAGCACTCCACAGGGGTGCCTTCTGCTGGCTTACTTCCATAATCCAAAGACATGCTTGAGGTTAGGTTAACTGGCAATTCAAAAACCAACTAACCCAACTAATGACTAATTACAGCTGTTTTTAGTTTTGTCAAAGAAAAAAAACTCATTTCAATTATTGCATAATGTGAGCTACTATCACATCAGTCTAGTTATTAGGTGTGCTACTAAGTGACTTCTTCCTGCCTGCGCAGGCTTAGGGCTGGGCTGTGTGACAGATGTACGGTCACTCAAGAGGTAGCCAAGAGAAGACAACAGGAATTTGAAGCCTCCCAGATTCAGAGTCTCCAGCACATCTCTCTACTTGGTATTCTGTTCTTACTCAATAATCCATCTATCCATCTTGCATCTCTACGAAACTCCTTTACAGTGAATTTCCTGTCTGTTCTTTAACCTTTGACATCATTATTGTTTCCCCAGTTTATTTTCTACTAAAAATGCTGTTTAAGGAAAATTCTATTGATGTGTACTCTGATCATGTCATTTGCTTGTGTTGAAGCTGGAGAGATGAACAACCTGAAAAAAGAGAACAAGAAACTTAAAGATGAAAACAGAAACTTAAAAGCAGCACTTGAGTGAGTAGATGCTATTTAACGATATGGTTGTTCTAATCTTTAATTTAAAAATAATGCTGATACATCTTATATTAGTATTTTCTGTTTATGAGGAACATTGTTTTAGGCATATTTGTATTTTTTTGATGCATGACAAAATTTAAAACCGTCGTCATTCTGTGCCTGTGTCTGTGTTTGTGTAGCAAAGGTCACAGTGACAACTCTTCTAATAGTAGCACCACCACAGAGGTCAAGCCCAACTCTTCCCCTGCCCTTTCACCCGCATCTGGAATCCTGTCCCTTATCAATACAACAACCAGCCGGCCAAGCAACAAGCCAGCAGATGGCAACATTTCAGTAAAGCCTGATGTCGAACTGAAAACTGAAGGTAAAAATGAACAATAGTGGTGATTATATTCTGTCATCTTACTTAATAAATTCATGCAGTTTCTGGCTTTGATCAAACAGAAACTGAAGGCAGACAGTTAAGAGGAATCAACCGAAGCCAGTTTGTAAGTTTGTTTTTTCATATTTTTATCATACATTTGTTTTGAATAATAATCAATTTCAGTATTCAATTAATTGCTAGTTGCACTATTCTATTAAGCAAAACGATTCATATCACAATTTGTAGCACCAAGTGTAAATAATCCAAATTTGCAGATAGGTATGAAAGAATTAGATATAAGATCTAAAATAATATTAAAGTGAAGAGAACAAATGGGAAACAATTACCACCAGAAAAATATGTATGCTTATTTTCCATCATCTTAAGGGACAGTGATGCCATTTGAATTACATGAGAGAAGCATGTGGCAAAACCTAAAACTTGTTGTGTTTTTCTACGGAATTTAATGATATTTGAGCTCAAAAGAAGCAAAATGTATTTCTGCTAAAATCAAGACACACATGTTTAAGTTGTTTTTTGTACGATTACACTGTTAGTGACAACAACTTACCCAGTAACCAGTGATGGAACATTAGCTCTAAGATGTCTTAAAAAGCTTTCAAGTGTTATTATTGTATCTATGATTCTATGCATACATGATAGATAAATAAGAGATGTAGAACTGCCAAACATCCCTCATCTTACCATTGACCAACCATGAATGGGTTATAATCAGAATCAGAATCAGAATACTTTATTGATCCCTAGGGGAAATTATTTTTCGTTACAGTGCTCCATTATAAACAACCATTAACAAAGACAGACAATACACTAACTAAGAATAGCACAATATATACAGGCATATATATACATAAAGGTCACTTATTAATAAATAGCTGAAAAAGGAAGAACATGTGCAAAAAGGGTGTAGCTGTTGCCATAAACAGTGTGTTAAGTGGATATGTTGTACAGGGAGATGGCCACAGGCAGGAATGATTTCCTGTGTCGTGCAGTGGTGCTTTTCAGTCTCTCACTGAACATATAAAACCCTACAAGAAGATGTATTGTTCACCTTAATTATTTTTTCATTAAGATGAATGCTTAAATTTATCATTATTTATATTTATATTGGTAATTAGTTTTTTTCCTCTGCACCAGTTAACATCAACATTTTTCTCAAGCCTTTTATATTACAAATTAAAACCCCTACAATACTAAAGAGCACTTGGCAGTAGCGGGGAGGAAGAACCCCCTTTTAATGAAAAGAGACATTCAGCAGACACTTGGTCAGCCATCTGCTCTGACTGAGTGAGGGGAAAGATCAGCTATGTTTCTTTTTATCCGTCAGTATTAGTCTGTTTTCAGTGGATTTTCCAAATCATTTGAGCAACAGATGTTGATAGAGCCACATGTCAAAAAATGTGTTGCTTTCATATCACCATCATTATACTGTATGAAGGAACTTGTAAGACTGTGTTGTACCTAACCCCTCTATGTGGAGTTTTTCTTAAGCTTAGCTAACATTTTAGTTACAGGTTCCAAAGGACATTTTGGCAATAGGCTGGTTATTATGATAATATAAGGTTGTACTTGGTGACGCAGCTCAGTAATGAAAAAGCAAATACAGAAAAGTCCATTAGTCCATTTTCACACTAACAATGACACTTTAAATAAGAAGCTGCCTATACACATGTACACTGCTTCTTTACAACACTCCGTCATTGAGTCTCACATCATAGATTTATGATTGTTCCCTTTCTTTCTGGAAGTTCTCATTGCCTTTTACCTGCAACTTGTACAAGCTTAGCACATGAAATACTATGAATCAGACTGATTACATTATATTTTCTGGTCTCCTCTGTAAAGCATTATTCTCAAAATCGAGCCAAAATGTTGCTTTAGGTAGTGCACACAGTAAGCTAAAGACTGAAAATAGTGAAATCCTAGCTCTCCTCAACCTTAAATATTAACATATTTTGTCTTATTCTATTTATTCTGTGATGGGTACAAAGACAGCTACCTAGGTACTAGCTTAGTTTCTTTTCTTTCTTTTTTTTCTTTATGCTAAGCTAACTAGCTACAGATTTTGCATTTACAAATTAGATAAACCAAAAATGTTTGAGGATAATTCAAATTGTTCTCTGAACTGACAAAACATTGGTTAATGTAATATGGTGACTTCTTTTGCTGCATGCCCTTCTCTGCTCAAACAGGATGCTCTTCCATTGTCAGCCCTCACATTGCCGTCATGGAAGAAAGAACACTTTGTGACTCGTGCTGGAGAGAAGAGGTAAGACATAGGAAATCACAAAATGGGCTAATCTGCCACTGTATGAGGATATGTACTGTGAGTAACAGCAGATTCATCAAATTAGTGATTATGTGCTCCAAAGTCAATACTTTTTTCTACATATAGAGTCTGAATATTACACTTTCCCACATTTCTGCACCAGTATTGATCCATAAAGGTTAAGGAGAACACAAAACTTACAGTTTGCATGCTTTACTTGCCAAAAATGAAAAACTACATCACCTTTCAGACATTCCCTCATTCACTCCACTACAATTTTATTCTTGTATTGAGTCATTATGCCAACATCTGTATGGGGTAATTTAAGCTCAATTTATTTTCCTTTCTTATTTTAATAACAAGAGTCTTGCTGCTGTTTTATAAGGTTTATTCTACTTTGCAATAGAACCTCCCCCCTCCTAACCTCCCACCACTGCCTTATCTGACACTTTCAACCAATCCAACAAATAATCTTTCCACTTCTGCTTAAGATTCGGGACTTTAGTTGTCCAAGATTTGGGCCTCTTTAGTTTTCCTGGCCTGAGCAAACATCTTCCCTCAGATAACACATTTGGGCTTGGGACAGTATACTTGTGCTCCCAGTCGGGGCTATTGATGTGTCACACAAACCTAATTCTTACCATCTGAGAACTGTGAAAATGAAGTTGGGTTTCATTTTACAGGAGCTCCTTAACACATTAGTTATTTTATTCATGATGTGCACCTGTTGCAACATGTTACGGCCTCATAGCCTCATACACCAAACCATTTAGGAACCACTGTCCTCATCCAACCATCCATCCATCCATTCATCCATTTTTACAGTAATTACAGCTATAACAAGGCAAGAGGCAGCTTCTGCTCTAATCATTACTGAAGAAAAATAAGTACTGCATCACATTACCAATTAAACCTTAACTGCCAAAAGATTTTCCTACAGACTTGACTTTCTTTCTCATACCTTAGAATTCAAAATGTTGAAGGACTCGACCAGTGTTCCTCCATGCCTACTAATTCTCTGCTTAGGAGATCTTCTGTCCCAGCTGCTGGAGATGTGCGACCCGGCAGACATGTTGTCCATGCTCCTGTCGCCCGACATCCTCAAGCAATCAACAGCAACTCTGGTTCTCTTCGCTGGTCTCTATCTGAATCATCTGATTGGATTACTGCCGGCACCAATCCAGTAGTGCAAACTTCACCCAATCCACACTCACAACATTTTCACAGCTTGAACCCAATGAGGCAACAGGCCAGCCCCAGAAGGCAGGTTTTTAGTCCTCCGTTTCCTAAGCAGAGCAGCGTTCAGCCCCCTGCCAGAGAGCCAACTGTGGTTTTCCGATTGACAAATCTGCCAGAATATGTGGAGATTCAAACAAAGCCCACAGAGAAAACAGAGAAAAAGGAAAACCTGCTACCCAAGGTTGAGAGGGTGTCTGAAGAAGGGTTAAAAGAGTTAAATGATGGGCCTTTGGACTTATCTGATCGGGGGAAGTCCATATCCAGTCAAGTGCCAAAAAGTGATTCATCCTCAGCCTTACAAGATGGAACAAGAGTTCAAAAGAGCCCTGAATTGGAGGTAAACACAAATTCTTCTGCAGACATAGCAGAATCATCATCTTCATCTATTGTCATTCCTTCATCATCATGTGCAACGACAGAAGAGCAAGCACCTGACAAGGATCCTAACCACAAGGTAATTTAAGGTCTTCTACTTCTTACAACAAAATTAGAAGAGGCTGAAGTAAAGAGGGGGCAAATTAAATTCATGGTGTGGGGATGTTCTACCTGCAGGTAGTCAGAGAGCAGGATCAGAAAGAGGAGGTGAATGGAAAGACAGATGAAAGCAAGGGGAAGAAGGTGCCTATCCTCACTCTATCATTACGGCCAGGTAAAGTAGGATGTCTCTGTGATTTTTCCTGAAATTCAGTCAAATATTGCTTTTAAACCAAGGTTACTAAAAATTGACAATGCACAAGTGAATAGTTTTTATTATGTTTTTGTAGCAGTAGTGGTGTTGGAGACTCTGAACCCAGCTCTACAAAAGCAAGATTCCTTATCATCAAATGGCAAGGTAATTTGTTAGCACATTAACTCATTTTGTATTACAATTTTTATTGAAAAAATACAACAACAACCAAAAACAGCTGACTTTAGTTTATATACACTTCTTTCTTTTGTGAACAATTGTGCATCCTTTTCTTTTTAACAGACATCTTCGGCGACAGATGAGCCAGAAACCAGCTCTGATGAGCAGGACGAGGAAGCCAGCCGGTCAGGACACGAAAGCAATCAGGGCTCCAAAAGGAAAAGGGCATCTGTGGAGACAGATGCAGACAGAGATTCCAACACAGACAGCAGTAATCACCTGTTTATTTTCAGATATTTTTTCCTTTCTTCAGTTTTGTTATCTCTGTCTTGAGTGTGGGCTTTAAACAGATTTCTTTTTTTCCTTTTTTTACCTCATCAGGTCTACATACATTTTGACTTCTGTGCCCCTCGCCCCAATTCTAACCCTACATGTCAGAGAAAAAGTACTTTTGATAATGAAAATACATTTGATAATTAGGAAAAAATGGGAGAGTAACGTCAAAAAGAACTAAAATGATAGGTTTAAGTTTAGGTCATCATCAATGTAGTTCTTTCGGCCTTTTTTACACCATATCTTTGGCTTGGCAATTTATATTAAATAAATTGACAGAATTATTTTTTTTATTATTGTTGCTGTTGTTTGTCATTGTTTACATTTTGCATTTCTAAATATTTTTAGAGTTTTATGTCTGTCAGCCTGTGCATAAGTTTTGTATCTGCTGCCTTACACCATACAGACGTACATACATTTTGCATGTTCTCTCAGTACCTGTGTGGGTTGTTTTCCATAGTCCACATCTTTGAACTATGGGAGGAAGTTTTAATTGATACATCAATTAAAAGTTTAATTAGTTATTCTAAATTGGCCATGGATGGATGCATGGATGGAAAACCTTCTCAACAACTGTCACCTTTATGTCTTAATTTTATCTATTTACAAACACACACAGCAACAAATGACCAAACAACAACAAAAAGACAATGTGGATAGTAAATTGTATCACCTTCAGTATAAGGCTCCATACTAATCACTACGCCATACTTTTCTCTTTTTTTCAAAGGTTTCTTAGAAATAGCTCTCCAGAGATCTAACAGGGATGTTTCACTATAGTACACTTTGGTCAGAGTAGGGCGAACAGATCGCCTGCTGTCTAAGGGATTGCAGAGCATTTATGTCTCTTTTTTTCTGGTATTTTAGCTCTGTAGTTCTGAAAAGTCAATACTGAATTGACAGTTCAGTTTTCTAAAATCTAAATCAAATCTGACGCAATGTCTGTGAAAAAAGCAGGGAAGGCTGTTTCCCTAGATGCACCATTTAAGTGAGTTAAACTATACGCACTTGGATTCAAGCACAAGTTAACCAGTTACAGAGTGTGCCGATGCGTCATCATACCTGAAAAATCAGGAATAAAGCCAAACCACAAATGTTATGCGGGTTTTGATGAGATGTGATGAAAACTGTCACAAAGAAAAAGAGACACTACTACGGCATAGAGTGGAAAACTTTATACTTTTGGTCAGCTTGGTACAAAGCGATGGTCCAAGAGTTGGTCTTTATAATTGTGCAGACATACTCAGGCAAATATGGTAGTAGTGGCTGAAATAAGTGTTTACTGCACTATGCAGCCTGTTTAATCAAAAAGATCAACAGACTGTGGTAGTAAGCTACCATTTTATCACTTTCCAGAGAGTAGTCGTTACCTGGCATAGCCCCAACCCCAGCTCTTAAGCTTAACCCTATGTTTCAAACAAAAAATGTACTTTTTTTGTAAAAAACGTAGAAAAAGTACTTTTCTGAAAAAAATGTTGATAGTTTTTAATCCATGTGTCACGGTACTAGGTCGTGTGACCCAGTGTTTGAGTTTTATGTATTTTTGTATTCATTTTCAATCTAGTTAATTTCTAGGTTGCTGTTCAGACCTTATTTCTTAGTTATTTCTGTCATCTCCCCTTGTACCCAGTCTTCCTGGTTCCTGCGTCTATGTTTCATGTCTATGTGGTTATGTTAAGTTCATGTCATGTTTTATCTCCATGTCTATGTCTCAGTGTTTCCTGTTTTATTTTGTAGGAGTCTGGTGTTCTTTGTTCATTGTAGTTAGTGTTACTCTCCCCTGTATTGTCATTATGTTTCATTTGAGTCAGCTGTGCTCTCATGTGTCTCCACTTCCCCTGATCACCTCATGTGTGTATTTAAGTCCTCTGTTTTCTGAATGTCGTGGTCAGGTTGTCTGTTATCTCCACCATTGGCTTGGTCATTGTCATAGAACTTAATAGTATTTGTTTCTTAGTGTTTTTTTTAGTTTGTTTAGGGTTCCATGTTTAACTCCTGCTATCATCCAAATAAAGGATCGCTTTCTGTTTAAACCTGCAACTCCTCGTCCACATCTGCTTTTGGGTCCTGTTTCAAAAAACACACCGGCGCACCCCGCTGTGACACCATGTCAGTTAGAATGATTACTTTCTTTGTCTTTCGCCCTGTTGGAGTATGGCATAAATACAACCAGTTGTTTCCCATTCATGTCTCAATTGCACTTGTGTCTGACAAACAGATTTTTTCCAACATATCCAGATTGGTTTTTTGATGATTTAGGATCCGACCTCTCTTTAAGTTGAAAACCTATTACCTTCTCATGAACTACTACTTTCTGTTGAGTTCTAATTCTGTTATTTGTCATTCACACAAAAAAAGCACTCTGAAATGCTTTCTGTTTTTGTTCCCCCCAGACAACCATCGAGAGAGGAAGCTCAAAATCACAATGAGATCAGAGGAAAAGCCCTAGATAAAGAGGATGTCACACTGACTTGGTAATTTTGCAAGAACTCTTCATTAACCATTTCAGAGTAGAAAGTACAACAAGCCAGTACAGGTATAATTTACAGAGGGGAGAAACAGAGTGCAGCCATCATCAGCCAATCTGATTCTGAGTCTAGCCGGATAGTTTTTTTAGTTCTGGTTCTCCACATATTGCTAAGGGAAGTATCTGACTCTTTAGCTGGTAAACTCTCTGTTACTTTCACAGACAGCTTTCTGCGTGGTAGGAAGTACATTGTGGGTATAGATCTTCATTTCCTTAGAACAGCTCTCTGCTGTGGCTAAATATTAAACTGATAAGAATGGCAAATTAAAACTGTATTTTCAGTGCAGTTGTGAGCCGTAAAATGAATATTTTACTTGCTAAATTCTAACAAAAACTCCAGATTGCTACAGTAACAGAATCTACACCATCGGGTTATTATTATCTGCAGTAAGTAACTGTTTTCATCCAAGTAGTCATGTGATCCAGTCGTCAAAGACTATTTGGTAATGGGCTTCTGCTGATTAAACTGAATTTTTCTGCCAAAATTCTTTTGTTTTGTTTTGTTTTTATCAGCTGTAAATTAAAGTTTTTGTCCACTTGGGGGCAGCAACTGCCCCTAAGGAACATAGGCATTGTGAACATCCAGCAGACACAGTAAAACTTCTGTCAAAGGGAATTCATTCCATTAGTTTCCAGAGAGTGGGGTTTAACTAAGCATGACACAAAAGCCCTGACTGACAGTGAGGATGCAGCAGTATGCCAACTTCCATAGGACACTGGCTAATGTTAAGATTGGGTCAAGCAAGCTGAGGTGGCACCTGGTACCAAACATCCTTTCTGACAGAAGGTGTGCTTTTCAAAAGAGCTACACACTGTAGCAGTCTTTTGTATTTGCAACTTTCTCACCCAAACTCCACCATTTTCTGCCGCGTTATATTTTTAACATCCCTGTGGTCATAACTAGTTCAGGTTTTTCAGGCCATGTTTCCTTCTTAGAGCAGTGGGTTGTAAAGCTCTACAACTTCCCTTTTCACCAGCTGTTATATATGAAGTTTAATGTTTAGCAGAGTATTATATAAGTGGCTGTTGGTTTTGGTTAGTAAACCACAAAGGTTTCATTTTCACCAGGGCATTAAGTCTAAAATGATGAAAAAGATTTGTGCACAAAGAATAAATACAAATAATACAAACATGTGACATTCTTTATCAGAATAAGTCTTTTCCACATGTCACCATGGAGCTAAAATCTTCATATTTGCTGTGGTCTGAGTGGAAATTTTAATGTAAGCACAGGGTATATCGCAGCTATTAGCAACTGGGTGGAAAACTGTCCAGCCTGACAGTCAGGCTTAGAAAGTCAACCATTTTCTAACATTTTCTAACACCTACCAACCCATTTTCACAGTGCCAAACACCCTCCTGTATGACCAGCTGAAGGGACTAAAATCTGCAGAATTCTCTTTTGTTCCTCATCTTCGAGCGAAACAAAACACGGTCTGCGCTGCTAATGCTTAAAGAACTTCAGTCTAAATGTCCTGGCATGCCCGTCACTGCTTGGCTAAAAAAAAAACAAAAAACACGTAAATCCTCTTATGTGACTAACTTAGAAGAATATAAGAAAGAAAGTCCGAAGAGTAAAATAAGTTCCTCTTCCTCTTTTCTCATTTTCAGACAGCACATATTTTGCAAGTATGAACTTTCCACTAACAGCTGTGACAACAACCTTTGCTTAGCTGGGTGATAGATGGGAAGTGTTAAAAGCAGAGAGACAGCTAAAGAAACTCTTGTGATAAAGCACTGTGAAGCTACTGAGTCCATTTTGTATTGATATAAAAATGGATGGACTGGCAGAGTCAACTAATCTCAAATCTACTTATTTTTCCTTCATTTCATTTTTTAGATGTCCCTGTGTATGAACCCAGATTTGCAGTCCTAATGCTGTCATATTGATTTCTCCTGTTTCTGTTATGTGTGTCTGATGCCATTATAGTCCATTAAGTATGGTATTTTATCAATGGTCAGTGGTCTTTCCCTGCCATTTGCATCTCTTGGTTAAAAAAAATGTGATTGACTATCCTACTGTAAGTGTACTGCTATGTTCTGACTTTTAAACTGTCAAGTTAGACGATGTGCTGTTGAGAGTATTTTTTTACAATACTACACTGTTAGAAACCTTTTAATGAATGTACTGTTACTGATGTTGAAATAAATTTCCATTCTTAAATGTTGGTCCGGTTTGATTAATTATATTTTAGCACCATAATAAATTTAGTAATCACCTGCCACACACACAGGACAAATAACAGGAAATAGAATATGTAATAGAAGTCAAATAGAGCATTACATCTAATGTTTGGTTTTCTTAGGGACGTTATGCAAAAGGGCTGTGCTCCATTGATCGACCTCATTGATGAACCTTAACTTACTGTCAGATAGTAGTTATGGTATCATGTAAACCCATCTAAACAAGAAAGAAGTGCAATACAGCTGATCATTTCAAGACTGCTCAAGAAATTTTAGATTTGTTCTAGCTGCTCAGGCGAAACTGGTTTAATGGTCACATTTCCCCAACAGGAAGTGATGGATGGAAATTTACACTATTTCAGTGTGAGATTATGCTTCCCTTTTCTTTTTGGCAGTAACCCTCATTTTAATGTGAACTGAGACGTTGTATTTTAAGACCAGAAACAAACATTAAATGCTGAAGTTTTAGTTTCGCTGCTCAGGCTAATTCTGGTTTCAACACAGAGACATCATTTGGACAAGAGAGCCCAGGAGCTAACTACTAATTTAAAAAAAACAAGTTCCAAATAAAAATAAAGCTCCAATTAAAGAATAACTATTTAGCATAGGAAAGTCCTACATTAAAAATAGATACTTAGTGTAAAGAACCTGAGACCCACATCAAGGGGCTGTACTCCCGATTAAACGAATTCAAGATACCCAGAATATGTTTTGATTTTCTGGCTTCACTAATCTTAACCTTGACTAATGAATAATGTATAACACATTACACATTAACACACACTTTTGGAAGCACAACCCCAACACTGTCTGACAGAGTCGCAACAGATTAGTCATTCCTTAGCCTGTGAGCTTCCTAGTTCAAAGCCCTGACTGCACTCCGTGAGCTGAGCTTGGGTCCTCTACCAGAGGCCTGGGAGCTTGAGGGTCCTGCGCAGCATCTTTGCTGTTCCTAGGACTGCGCTCTTCTGGACAGAGATCTCCAATGTTGTTCCTGAGATCTGCTGGAGCCACTCGCCTAGCTTGGGAGTCACTGCACCATTATCACTGGGGCCACTGTTACCTTCACCCTTGACATCTTCTCTTCTCTGAGCCCTTGGAACTTCTGCAGCTTCTGTTTCTTCTTCCTGATGTTGCTGTCATTCTGCAACACTACATCTATCACAACGGCTGTCTTCTTCTTCTTCTTCTCCAGCCACTGGTAGGATTTCTGGATGTCAGCCACTTCCATCTGCTGGTGGTGCATACTGTCCAGAGGGGCCTCTTTCTTGGGTTTCTGCTGCCTGAGGTATTCACTGAGCATGCGGTCGCCCATGTCCAACACCCTGAGGGGGTACGCTAAGCAGAAAGAAGGAGGCCGGGGATTAATGAGTGTCAGTACCATGGTCCAGGATGAGACAACGAACATGCCCAGGAACTTCCTGGTCTTGATGTCAGTGGCTTCTATCTCCTCCTTTGGCCAGCTTATTATCCCAGCAGAGTACCTGATCACGGGCTGGGCGTAGGTGTTGATAGCCAAAATGTGTTTCTTACCATTCAGCTGACTCCTCGAGACTTGCCTGACCCTTTGCAGGTACTTGGTGGTTGCAGCTTTCATAGCGGCCTCTTCATGGTTCCCATTTGCCTGTGGGATCCCCAGGTACTTGTAGCTGTCCTCTGTGTCTGCAATGTTGCCTTCTGGTAGTTCGATCCTCTCAATTCTGACTAACTACCTTCCCTCTCTTTGTTATGATCCGACTACACTTCTCCTGTCAGAATAACAGCCGTTGCTGTATATCCAGGTTGTGTGGATCAGTGAAATGATATGTCATTCACTCATGGCATCTCTCTCTCTCCATAGATACATAGATACATGCAAACCTGATTCTCCTGAAATTCTTTGTTCACAACCATCAGGTGTCAAGTTATGACATATAAAGCCTGCTTCCAGGTCCAAACTACACTGTGTTAAGGTCATTAAGGTTGTCTTTTTAATGTGTGTTAATGCTTTTCATCTTGTTCTATTTAATCTGAACAAGGTACTAAAATACTCAATGATCACAATTGGCCTGTCTGGGTTTTTGATCTGAATAATTACAATAATTACACCTGTATGTGTCATGAACCGCTGTGTGCCAGGCAGGAGATGTGGACCCAAAATGCAGGCGCTCAGACTCAAGGTGTTAACTCAAAGTCACAGCTTTATTGGCTGGCAGGAAAAACATACAAACTAAACTAAACTGAGAAACAACAAACTAAAACTCACAGTGAGACACAGCATGAGGGACAACGCGACACTGACTCAGAGAAACACAGGGTTTAAATACAATGGGAAGTAACGAGGGGAATGAGACACAGAAGGAGAGCACAGCTGGGAGAAATCAGAACTGACGAGGCAAGGGAGTAGTAATCTGAGCACACTCACATAAGACACAGACCTTCACAATAAAACAGGAAACTCAGACACAGGGAACCAGACAAGACGCTGACCTGAACAGACAGATTCACAAACAGAAGGGGTGACACCTTAGACAGACAGAGATACAGACGCAGACTCAGAGGCAGACCGAAGAGAACTGAAACAATAATAATCATCATAATAATAAACTAGAAAATGATAATAATAAACTTAAAGCGCTGGGTCACCGAACCAGGACCATGACAGTATGTAATTATACCTGACGGAATTACATTTGAATAGGTCAGAAAAGAATCACTCTGAGGCTAAGAAAGATTTGAATGGGTGAATTAAGCTGAGGATCAGGAATTTTCAACAGCGACTAAACAGCAGAATATCAATAATGACTAACCTCATGCTGGGGATGGATCATCTCAAGTGATCTCTTGACTGAAGTTTGGATGGTTTTCAGATTTTTTTTTCCTGCCATCCAGTTGCATTTGTCTCTGCCCATTGGGAACTCTCATGCTGACTTTTATTGTGGGGATAAAAGTTCAGCTTCACTGTGCTAATGTGTTTATATTATCCTAACCATAGCTCTGTATCTAGCCACCACATAGCACACCATTAAATACCAGCTAGCCCAACTTCAGTTATCATACAAACATCTGCTTTTTAGTTTTCACTTCACTTATGTCCGAAGTGATAGCAGAGTTGTACGTTTTAGTTTTTCAGAATTCCCTCACTCAGACATTGCATATCATCTTTAGATGGAAACTAGCAAGCTAACTCCTTGCTAACTTCTAACTCCATTAAACTTCAGAAATTATGTTTTTCATGGATGCTTGGAAGTTAAACTTAATTCTTACACCTGGTAGAGCTAGCCCTACTGATCATTTTATTAAAGATGAAAGAATTTAGACAGTTTTGAGAGTTTTTTAACTCTCAATATTGCTGCTGATACTGCTAACACTGCTAGACTTAAGAGAACTAGGGTTAGTCACTGTGGCATCATTCATTGTTTGTGAAGTCCCTGCTGAAGCCTTGAGCTGAATGTTTTCACCACTTTGCTTTTTTGAAACCAGATGTGACAAGTGAGGGGTGGATCTGACTGTCACACTGCACTCTTAGTAAATAAAGCAGTAAGGACATATTGGATGACTTTTTATTTATTTTTATTATTTTTTTTATACTTAGAATAAACAAATTTTTCAAATTAATGGCAATTTCTGTTCAGGATTGGTTAAAACATATGTTATCGGTATCATCATTCCCATTCCCCATCTTCGGCATGGTCAGACATGACTAAAATTATATTTTTGTGTTCTATTTAACTGATACAGTATTATTCACAGTAAGTAAATAAGTGTATATTGCAAGAGTATGTTACATCATCAAGTAACCATCGAGTAGCAAGTGGTAGGGGTCTAGTAAGAGCAATATTTTTGCAATATTTCTTCCTCCCCCTACCCCAAACCTCTCATCACCACAGAGTGACAACCTGTAACCTGCAGCCATTCTGAGTGCACATGTGTGGGTACAAGATGGGTTTGAATAAATTGAAACTATTGTTTAATGTTATTTCAAAACACATGTAAAAATAACCAGCATAAGGAGGAAATCTATAAAGATCAAAGAACAGGGAAATTACAATTATGCAAAATGGAATGGGAATGAAGAACTGTGTTATAACAAGAAGAGAACATCTGCAGGGACTCCGAAACTGGTCACAGAAAATATACATAGTTAAAATAAATCGATCCATTCAATTTGTGAAATATACAATGCTGTGCAAAAGACTAGAGGTACACTTTATTTCTTTATGTTTTGCTATGATAGGAGGAAATAGGTGCAGCCATTTATTGAAATATGTGTAAGGACATGTGAAAATACAATAAATGAGGCAATTTACAATTATAATTATCTTGAAAGTTAACATTTGCTCTGATCACCTCTTTCTGGCAAGCTGTCTTGTAATTTCTTTAAGTAGTCTGCGTGAATAGTTCTCCAATCTTTGTGAAGAACATTTCAAAGCTCTTCAGTGGACACTGTATTTTGTTCTGTTCTCCCTCAAGACGATACCTCACAGTTTCAATAATATTGAAATCGTGCTCTATCGGGAGCCCCATCCATTTCTCATAATGTTCTATTGTGTGTTTTTCTATTATCCCAATGGAGCATTTTTCTCTTAGGGTTCAGGCTTACTTGTGGTTCCCAGTTTCCAACTATAGAATGGGAGACAGAGCCTTCAACTATCAGAAGACTCTCCTGTAGAACCAATTCCCACTTTGGGTTTAGGACTCTACTTTTAATTTTAGGCTTCAAACTTTCCTTTTTGGTAAGCTTTATACTTGGGGCTCAAGTACTGTTGCCCAGCACCTGCATGTAGGGAATCCACTGATTCGTTTTCTTAATTCTTTATCCAACTTAGTGTCCCAAGAGTAGGCAAAGCACAGCCTGGACAGGCCTCAAAATATGTCTTGATATTTATAT